ATTTTTTATTTTTACTTTATTTTTTTAACAATTACCGATTTGTTTTTAAAGAAATTACATCACTCTTATTGGAAAGCCTGCAGTTCATAAAAATCTATTTTCTTTTGGGAAAATGTTCATAGTAATTTAATGATATAAAGATGTTCGATTTAAGTTAGTTTATAGTGCTTTTTAAAGTTGTATACGTACACATGTAGGAATACACTTACATATGTGTTGTCGCTGCGCTCTAAGCACAAACGAAAAAATGTTCAAAGTTAGGTCTGTAGCCTGAACTTAATAACCTCAAAAGGCAGTCAAATGCAACTAAGCATATTTGCACACACACAGGCGCAAACGCAATGAAGCGTGAAATTTTCATTAAAACGCATAAACAGACATATAAAGCGACTGCTAACTTAGAAAAGTGGAAAAATTATATGATGACTGCGCCAAATGTCAACGTCAGGAAATCTACTTTTCACATTACTGCAATATACATACATATTTAAGTCCCAAGTGAATTTCGCGCCATTACAAATTCGCCAAAAATATGAAAAGATTCTTATTTAGATATGCATAATGTATGTACATATATACATTCAAATACGTAAGTATGTATAAACATATTCCATATTTAATACCTTGGTATATATTTATATATATACATATATATTATTTAAGATATATATATAATTTATATTATTTAAGATATATATATAATATATATGTACATAAACAGATAAATGCATTCAAGCGATCACAAAATGTATTTTGTGGCAGCTGATTGAGTTGGCAATACAAAAGCAGCCAAAAAAACCAAACACAGAAGTGACTGTTTGTGTATATGTGTGAAAATTGAGAATGTATGTGCATCAAAAACCTCCAAAAAAAAAAAAAAATTAAAATCTTGAGGTAACTTAAATTTATATTTGCATAGCAAGGTGCTTTAACTTAAGGAAACAACAACAACAAAAATAGCAAAAAGCAACAATATAAACAACAGCAAAAATATCAAGAACAGTTGGAAGTGCTACAACAAAAACAAAACTAAAAAATAACAACAGCAATATCAGCAACCAACACAACAAATACCACCAACCCACACAAATAAACGCACATCACGTGCAATATCAAACTTCAAGCAACTGTTGTACATGGCGTATGAGTGATGTGTGTGTGGGCGCTAAGCACGCATTCTGCGCCATTTTTCATTGGCAGCTGGGGACAAACGAAATGCAACTGTCAAGGTTACACAAAAGCCGTACAACAAAATATAAAATGCATGCACACATACATACATACTATACATATAAACGAAAATGTCACTTTATAAAAACAAGAAATAAATAAATCTTTTATAAAAGTTAAAAGCGCTGCAGATTGCTTGCAGCTGAAAAGTATGCTACAAAAAATATTTCTTTGCGAAATGCAATGATAATTGACAACTCCAAAAGCTTTGCGGCAGCAGGCAAGTGGAAAATGATGTTTAAAATACAAACTTTGTTCCATAGTGTAAGATACTAACGGAAATTGGCATTTCATTGATCAAAAAGTTTGCACAGCTTGCTGCCATGTATACAAACTCTTGCGTTTTATTTGCGTACGATTTGTTAGATTTCTTTGGACTAACTACTTCACGCAGGTGTGCACGGCGCCTGCAGTTATGCTAAGTAAAAGAATTATATATACAAATATATATTAAAAAAATATACAAAAGTATATATGCTTGGTAGTCTCTCACGGTATTTTGATTTTTCTTAAGCAAAGTCATCAATAAATTTGAAAGTTTGCGCAATTTGCAAAATAGGCGCCTGCAAGTATGTTGCAAAAATATCAAAAGCAGTCCAGTTCATTTTATTTTATTCATTTACAAACTATTTTTTGTGCTATTTAAAGTGCTTCTAAAGGTCATAACTGGTATGCGCCTTGAGAAAGTAAATATTTTTAAATTAGAAATGTGCATTTATACAATTGAATGGTTTCATGAAACATTTTTTCTTAATATTTTTTTATTTTCTTAAAAACTATTCAGTTGTAACTAAAGAATTTTCTAACAAAAAAAATATGAAACATATTTTCGAATTCGAAGCCTTTCAGCAAGCTGTTTAATTTAAGATAATTTATTTAGTTTACGTAAATAAAACTCTGAAATATCTGAAAAACTAATAATAAGTATTTTAGAATTATTTTGGATTTTTTTCAAGATTTTTAATACATCTAATCACAAATATTTCAATTTATGGGAAATATTTTGAATTTTTTTCAAGCATTTTTTTTTTTTTTTTTTTTTTTTTTTTTTTTTTTTTTTTTTTTTTTT